GGAAGCGTCGGGGCATGTGCAGATATGAGATTCAGGCACTAGGAGTTGCTTGGCAGGTTTGGACGAATGGTCTCAGGAGAAGCCAAAGCCTGAGGCCCACTGGAAATGGGGGAACTGGGGAGGGCAGAACAGCGAGCAACCGGGTTAACCCAACAGCTGGCCAGAATCAGGGTGCCAGTCTGACAGGATCTGTCCCCCTGCCCTTCTCCCAGCCTCAGCCCTGAACAGAAGCCACTGAAGTTCTCTGCAAGTGGCAGGCCTGGGCTGTGAGGGAGTCAGCACAGGACTCCCTCTGGGGCTTCTAGAAGGGTGAGCACTGTCAGACAGCAAAGGAGCTGGAGACCACGGTGCTGGCTGCTTCTCACCCAGGGACCCCCGGGGCTGCTCTGACATTTGGGGAAGAGGAAGGTCTGTCTGGGCCCTAGCCCCAGAAAAGCCTCTGGGTGCCCAGGGTGCCACTTAGGGACCATGGGATAAGCCACTGGGAGGCTGGCCTGGAGGCAGCAAGCTGTCTTCCCTAAGGAAAAGTGGACTACTCCAGGACGAGAATGGCTGATTTCTGTCACTGCCCACTATCCAAGGCCCTAAAAATAACATATCGAAACTCAGGGCGTTCTGGTGGAGAAGGCAATGGTGTCACATCACCTGGCCATGGGACCTTGTGCACCGTGGCCTGGGCTTCTCAGGCCTCTCCCTCCTGCCCGCAGACTCAATGTCAGGCAGACAGGCTGCATCTCAGCTCTGTGACCTTGTGCAAAGTAACTGCCCCTCTGTTTGCTCAAGTGTGGGACAATGAAATCAGGACTGACTTGAGAAGATGCCTCGAGGATTCAATGAGATAATCCCCATCCAGCACTTCGCTAAGTGCCTGGCGTCTGAGGGCTCAACAAACACCAGAGACTTTCTGTTGTTACGCGGCTGGTGCTAGTTTTGCTGGTTCACCTTTCTGGATGGTATCAGGTAAAACGTATCAAGGTTTTAAAAATGTGCAATTTCACTGTAAAGAAGTAATTATGTATGGCAATTATATTACACCCACGGCAAGAGTGTTGAGCCAAAGGGATTTAAGATGACGACCTGGGAGCTTCCTAAAAGCCCAGTGACAGGATCGGGTAGATGAACCACAGTTCATCTAG